TAACAGAAACTCAGTGTCCTCTAAACAATTACTTATATTCTCATTGTTCCTTAGTGGAGATGAGGTGCCCTAGAATTAAGTACCCCATAAGATATTATATGCTGTAAATCCTAACCCTTTTACATCTACGGTTATAATAATTTCATTTGGGAATGCATTTTCTTTGTTTTGTTAGTGAGATAATATTAGTGTTAGGTGTTAATTCAATTTTGTTTGAGCTATAAATAAGCATAGTTGGAGGAAGAGAGATGCCATACCACATAAGATTTCTAAGGAGCAGAAGCTGAAAATAGACCTTTGTTGTTGTTGTTAAGTACCATGGAGTCGGCTCCTACTCATAGTGACCCTACACAGGGTTTCTGAGGCTGTAAATATTTATGGGAGCAGAAAGCCTCATCTTTCTCCCTCAGAATGACTGGTAGTTTCGAACTGCCAATCTTGAGGTTAGCAGCCTGATTTGTAACCAACACACTACCAGAGCTCCTTAGAGCTAACATCCTGAATTTGAATTTTCAGTCTCCTAAAATTGAGAAAATAAAGTTCTGTTTGAGAAAATCACCCACTTGGGTTATTTCAGGTATAGCAAAACTAACAGAACTAAGACAGTCCAATTTGATTGTAGACACCAGATGAGTGTATGAGATTATTTAACTAATCATGCCTCTCTTCAGCTAAAGACTGTTTCATAATCACATGACCATAGCATACTAATCTTCTTAGATGTTTTCTGTCTTTGAATCATGTTGAATCCAGAACCTGCTTTTAGTCTTTGACTAATAGAGTTTAAAAGGCACAGCAACAACTGAATTCAAAGTTAAACACACCACTTATCTATCATAAGCTCTAATAAGTCACAACTTGTTTCATTAATTTTTAATCTAAATTAAGGAATTCTTTCAACATAAACTATGAAATTTAGTGGGGGAAATAGGTAAAAGTAAAAAAAAAAGTTATTATTATTATTTTTTAGATCTAGTATTCAGGAGATTTAATAGGGATTCCAAAAGAAATAATGACTAATATGATTGAGTGCTTAATATATGTAAATAATTATTCTACACACTTGAAGTGTATTAACTCATCTAAATCTCATGGATCCTTTTTGACTTATGCCCTATTACTGTTGTTGTTAACTATAGTCAAGTCAGTCCCCAACTTAGGGGGATCTCATGTATTGCAGAGTAGAACTGCTTTATAGAGTTTTCTTGGCTGTCATCTTTATGAAAGTATAGTGCCAGCCCTTGGTCTATGTAGAGATTCTTCATGAACACAATTAAACATTTTGGAATTCTCATTCTTCACAATGTTATCCATAGCTTGTTATGACCCACGCTGTTAAATGTCTTTGTGTAGATTTGACAGTGTGAGTAAAGCCTTTGTGATTGTCATTTGTTGATGGGGCACAATTCAAAATGAGGAGAAATAGCAACAAAATCCATTAATAACTGGCACACAGAATATACAGTGTACATTTTTGTTGTTGTGAAGTGCCGTCAAGTCGGTTTCGACCCATAGCGACCCTATATAGGGTTTCAGAGGAGCGACTAGTGTACTTGAACCACTGACCTTGCAGTTCAAAACAATTTTGAAGTCTGGTGCATTAACCCACAGTGCTATACCAGGACTAAGTACAAAGTATAAATCTAGGAAATTGTCAAAAATGAAATGGAGTACATGAAGATTGACATCCTAGGCATTAGGGAATTGAAATAAACTAGTATTGACCATTCTGAATCTGAAAATCATATGGTTTACTATGCTGGAAAAGAAACATTGAAAAGAAATGGCATTGCATTCATCATCTAAAAGAACATTTCCAAATCTGTCTTGAAGGATAAAGCTGTTTGTAATAGGCTAATGTCCATGTGCCTAAAAGGAAGACCAACTAATACTACTATTATTCAAATTTATACACCAACTACAAAAGCCTGTGATGATGTCACTACAGAAAGCTTGTAAGTCCTAGACACAGGATAGCTTGGGTGCTGGGGGTAGGGGGGCCATACAAAAATGGGGAAGGGAATGGAATAACAAAGCTAACAGGAGAACAGTTAGGCAGGTTCACATGGGCTAAGTGGGACAGAGGTAAATAATGATGTATGCACAACCTTGGAGCAACAGGGCTCCGGGATACAGGGATTGAAGCACGGTTTGAAGAAGTAAAATAGGGGAATAGTGTTAAGATGCTTGGCTGGCTTTTGAATATTGGTTTCCCTTGCCTACCATTGTAAAAT